ATCGTTGGCTGTAGGTAACAATTAACAAGACATATTCATATCGTCTGTCTATGATCACGGGAGTATGTTTCTATAATTAAAAAAAATAATTGTAACAGATATTGTTATTACGAGCAAATATTTTGTTGTACGCTGTAGTCATAAAAAAATATAATTCGACAAAAAAATATAATTCAACAAATATTATATAAAGTATTGGAATAATATCGTAATATTAATTTCCACTAAATAATTATTACTCCATGTAAATTAAAAAAGCTATTTTATTTACATAACTTTTTATAAACCATATATTTTGTTACAGTTAGAAACATTATGTCCTTCACTTTTGATGATTTGATTTCACCGACTGTCTCTTGAAATTTCATAATACATATAATGTATCAATAAATAAGAATTAACAAAGTATTAAGGATGTAGTGTCAATGCAACATTAATTGATAAAAAACAAAGAATAACAGCTTATCCTTCAATGAGGATAATGTTCCAATATAAAACATATAGAGAGGAGACTATGACCTATCATCTAGGTACATATAGTGTAAGCCGTACAGAACGAGATATTATTACTACTTTAATGAAGAAAATATATACTAGTATAAATTATATATAACTGTTATACAGAAAAATATTACTATCAAATATTTAGTTCTCGTAATAATTTCTGGTTAAAATATATACAATTGTATTATAACTCACTGATAAATTAGAAGGCCTTACAAAGGTGTCTTAAACTAAAGTTATTAAGGGCAGTACATCTTGACAGTTTAGTAGAAATGACCTACATTCAAATGTTAGAAAATTAAGGAAACCCTTATACTGAAATAATTCTCAGGTTTAATTTGCATGAACAACGTCTATTTATGAACGTGCACCCTCTCACGGAAGGTGGCAACGAGTAATAATAACCTTAATGAGATGAAACTTCTCAGCGATCCATTGATTCACCGTGCTGGGGCCGGGTCTGTCTCGTTTTAAAATGAGTAGCTTCAACAATGTCTGGGACTTACGACTCAGATGTAGGTTTAAGGGGCCCCTATCAAACGCGCTTTTGATAAAAATAAAAGTGATGTAAAAATTAAATTATTGATTTCGAATAGAATTATTAAACAAAATTAGTGAATTAAAAAAAACTTAAAATATTTTTACCGTTTTAACAAATAAAACTTGTTTACTCGTAAGTTAATCTTATATTTAAAAAAAGATTTGAACAATCGCATTGAGAACAATCTATGATAACCAATATTACCCAGAAAACGTCGAATATATTCGGTACATAACCTTTTTAATGCAGACATAAATTTCAAACATTTGTAATATACCTTAGAGTTATGATTAACTAATTATTGATTTAGTAATAATACAATCAAATTTATTTTAAAGAGGAGTAGAGGACGTATTTCAGGTAAACCGAAGCAGTTGAGAAGGTACAGTGAAGAATATGCAGAAGAACAACCCGGCATGATCACGTCTCTACACCATGAAGACACGACGTAAGAGAGAGAGATACAATTAAACATACTCTTTCTTTGTTTGAGCTTTAAATCTTTACTCAGATTTAATTTCTTGTCTCTTCAACATGGTAAAATTTTCAGTTATATTTGCAAATTTGTATTGAATATTTTTGATACCACCTCAAATAATGCACTGCTTAGAAAAAATATCGTAAAAAACTATTATAATATAAAAATATGTTACTTCAGCTTTTCCGCGTTGTCTTTACTTAAGAGCGCTTCGTTAAAATTTCTGAAAAAATTGTGTCATTATCATAAACGCACGTTTTGCAGAGTCTTTAAAATCAATATTTGTACTAAAACTAAATTTACATTCAGTTGTAACTATATAAAACTTGAGGTTTTAATGAATGTATAAAAATTTGTATATATGTATTGTATTTATTATAATATGTATATGTTAGAAATTAATAAGAACATTAAATGTATTCATTATTAATTAAAAAAAGAATTAGTTATTTCATACAACTGACATACCACGATAACAAGATAGAGTGTTATCAAATTGGAACCTGTATTATCATTTTTAAGTCCTTGCCTAATTCCTACTAAGAATTTTTAAAAGTTTGATTAGTGAGCAGGTTGGAGGAGAGCACAGAAGTATTAAATTTTCTTTAATTAATGTTTTACCTCAACTAAAATTAATCTTATATATTAATATGTATATCAACATATAGGTAACAAGCATAGGTGTACGAACTTCGACTATTATTATATATTCTGTATTCGGTTTCCGAACGACATATCAAAAAAGATAAATAGAAAATTGGTTTAAAAATCATTACTATAAAATATTTTAAAGTATTTTACTTCTGTTACATTTTTTTTACTTCTGTTACACAAATATAATTTCGTTATACACACTACAAACAGTTCCATTAAAAGGGAAATTTACATTAATTAATTATCCTCGTAATATTAAGTCAAACTTATACTTTGATAAAATCGTCCCAGTTAATTTAAAACCATCAAAATACGGACCCAAGAGAATTATTGAACGGAAATACAGTACAGGATGTGACTTTATCGCTTGGAAACCTCTTCTGGTAATAGGGTAGCAGTATTAAAGGCATTCACCAGGTTGATTAGTCCGGATATAAAGTGCTCTAGAACCGTAAGAATGGTTAAAATAGATTTACTTCATAATTATACAATTATTTACCATTATGTTACAATCTTTATTTTGTAGAATATCAATTGAAATGAAATTTAATTAGATTTGATTTTATAATTAAAAAATCTCGTATTTATTATATGTTCTTTTGAAGTTACAATTGGAAAAACATTAAATAAAAGTATCTTTTGTGAAGATTAGTTAAACGAGGTTTATATTTTAACCTTTCCCTAAAAAGCACAGTGATTGTTTTATGTGTTTGGGTCGATCTAATCTCAAGTCTCGGCTCCATAAACTGACATGTAGGGTTGACATAACTATGGTACCCTTTTATTCAGTATTTATAAGTACTCAATTCCTGAAGATTGCTTTTATAATATAATTATACAATTTATTTTTATGATATAAGAATTGTAATTGACTCTATAAAAAAGCATTTCTTTGTATTTTGTACTAGCTTTCCACCCGCGGCTTCGTCGGCGTCGAGTTCGGTTATATCGCGTTTCCAAGAGAACTTTTCAAAAGTCTGGGATAAAAACTATCCTATGTTCTTTCTCAAGGTCAACTCCATCTCTGTAACACTTTCATTAAAATCAGTTCAGTGGTTTAGGCGTAAAAGCGTAACAAACAGACAGACAGAGTTACTTTCGAATTTATAATATTAGTAGGGATGAAAGTATTTTATACAAATGAAATACCAATAAAATACTGCAAACGACTTTATCATAGATAAGATGTTAGAATTACGAGACAGGATTTGAGGATGAAGTGACCAGAAAACTGTTAATAAGGTAAATGACCAGACTTTATGGATTAATAGTATTAAAATAATACAACAAAATAATTGTAGACCCTAAAAAATAAAAAAAATTATAAAAATTGAATAAAATTTTAACTCTTAACCTTTATACGTATATATCAAATCTCGAAATTTATAGTATTGACCTCAGATTATGAAATGTTTCCGTAAATAATATACAACATATTTAACACAAACGTATAAACATGAAATGCTGGGTGAACAAATATTTGAATCAATTACATTATGAGAGACACTACAAGGAGATGTCATACTGAAATAGAATCTTCTTTTTGCTATCGTTAGCCTTACACCAAAAATAAGAATCACTGGTGGGGAGCGTCGCCTACATTAGCAGAAGCGCACTCATTATGAGATACTTTTTTAAGAAGAATAGTTATTAGCCAGAGCTCTGCCCGTTTGCATAGCTAGTTTGCCTTTGCTCGTGCTAGTCTGATAAATCTTTAAAATTAATGTAATTTGAAGTATTTAGCTGTTTTGTTTATTTTTAAGAATAAACCTTTGGTTTCTAAGAATATACAGGATGACTGGTGAATTACTATCAATATTTAAGGAGCATACTCGGTACATGATTCTCATTCGAATTATGTAAAAAAATAGGTACTTAATTTTTGACCAAATTTCCGTATAAATAAATAAAGTGTGGACCCGTTCCAAGTGTTCCAAGTGTGGACGCCTGCGGCGGCGTGCTGATACAACACAACGCCGCGGCACGCGTGTGTGTGTGTGTGTGTGTGTATACCTAATCTGTAGGGTGTTCACACGATGCGTAATTAATTACATAACTTTTGGTTAACTTTACTTAGAAGTTTATTAATATTTATGTTATACTAGCTTTCCGCCCGCAGCTTCGCCGCGTGGAGTTCGGTTATATCGCGTTTCCAAGAGAACCTTTCAAAAGTCTGGGATAAAAACTATCCTATGTTCTTTCTCAAGGTCAACTCTATCTCTGTACCGAATTTCATTAAAATCAGTTCAGTGGTTTAGGCGTGAAAGCGTAGCAGACAGACAGACAGACAGACAGAGTTACTTTCGCATTTATAATATTAGTAGGGATTAATTTTTATTTTGTCATATACGATCGTCAAATATCACGTCCTCAAGTATATATTATATGATATTTTTCTACTTATTCAAAAAAGGTAAGTACAACAAAAATTTACAGCTAAGCCAAAAGCATTACACCTGGAATACATCTGTTCATTTGATTAAAGTAGAAAAGAAAATTCTTGACCAATTTCATATAAATAAATAAAAAATATTAATTTTATATATTAAGTATTCATTTAACCAAATTTTTTTCTTAACAATTAATTGTCACGCGTAGATGTTGCATCCACAAAGGTCAGCCAATAAATACATTTTATCCAAAGAATGGAATGGAATGGACGTGTTATATTTTTGTACCTACATATATTAAAGATTCATAACCGGAACTGGATTCAAATATTGTATTGTGTAATGCTGAGTAGACGCTGCGAGGGTTAGGCCCTGTTTGTTTTTAGATAGAAGCGAGTTGGACGATCAGTTGGACGATCAGTTGGACGATTAGTTGGTCGATCAGTTGGTCGATCAGTTGGTCGATCAGTTGGTCGATCAGTTGGACGATCAGTTGGTCGACCAGTTGGTCGACCAGTTGGACGATCAGTTGGTCGACCAGTTGGTCGATCAGTTGGACGATCAGTTGGTCAATCAGTTGGTCGATCAGTTGGTCGATCAGTTGGTCGATCAGTTGGTCGATCAGTTGGTCGATCAGTTGGTCGACCAGTTGGTCGATCAGTTGGTCGACCAGTTGGTCGATCAGTTGGTCGACCAGTTGGACGATACTTAAGTCTATTATTACTTGAAATTGGGAAAAATATGATTCGTTCTAAAAGAAAATGCTTTAAAGTAAAATTAATAAGATGCGTTTCTTTTATAATATACATAATTAAGTGTATGTAGTATTAACATTGTGAGTTTCTCTGTTATAATTGACACGGATATAACGATCTAAAACATCAAAACTATTAAAATGAAATTTAAAATATTTGTATGCTGCTTTGTTGGTCTAAAACTCTGAGACCAATAACTTTATTAAATAATATAGCCATCGATCATTTCAACTATGCACACAGAATTGATTGCATTTACTCAAGATATGTCATATGTTGATTCCTTTGAGGCCGGCGTGTATGTATATAATGTTATCTTAACTAAATCTATCACCTCGGTTTTTCGAAATACTCTGATAATCTAAAACATTCTAGGCTTGCTTCGGAAATGGACTTATTAAAAATAAAATTTACTTGTTAGTATACCAAGCAATGAAGCCTTAATTAAGAATCGATTACCATAATTAAGAAGCTATGACAAATGCATATTCTTTGAGTGTATTCTTTAAAATTCTGAATATTTGAAATAAGTCAACAAAAAGGTTTACTAGAATACCACCTTGGGAGATTATTATTCTTTCACGGTATCTACATAAATTTTGAATTCTATATTCACACATTTGTTACTTTAGTGACAATTGAAAAAAGATGAGTTTATAGCAACTATTTATAGCAACCGAATGGTTACTATAAATAGTTATAATGTTCTATAAACATTAACAATAAAATATAATGTTATATAAATCGACTACGATCATACCAGAATATCTAATATCAATTTGTTTATGGATTCTCTTTATTTTAATTCGATCTCTTACACATATTCCTTAAGTATCTAAGGATGAAAAATGTATACAATACGATACAATGATATAACTACAAACGTGATCTTGAAATTTAATTTAATAACAATTAAGACATAGTAATGTATTATCTGGCTTGCTTGGGTATGATTTTCACAAACCTTTGTATCAAAATACGTTCATCGTATTTATGGTACCGCTATTGTGCGTTACCATATTATTCAATACTAAGAAATACATTGTATTTTCTAATAACGGACACTAAGTCATAACCGGATAAATGTTATAGTTAAGTAATATTTTAACATTTAATTATTAAATATATAAACATAAATATCTCTTACAAATATTTAATAACAACATTTTGTCTAAGTTGAATTTGATAAAATAAGTGATTACTTAAAATAAGTTTTCAGTTAAAACAAGTGATGTAGAAGAGATACATTGGCACCGATGGCTGTTATAATTTCTTCAAAGATTTAAATGAATTCAAAACATAAGATAATAATTTTGGTTCTTCTTTATTTTTCTACATATATTGCATTCAGAAACCAATACATAAAAATGCTCCATAGTTTTTGGTTCGTTGGATTTGTCTCCGCCCCGAATAGCAGAATAAATCTTAAAAAAGAAAAACTAGACTCAAACATGTCAATTGTAAAAGATCGAACCGGGTTGTACCTGTCATTCGTCAAACATTTGTTGTCCATCCTGTCAAATACTATTAACGCGTGCGTTTATTAATTTATTTTGTGTAAATTAAAGATTATATTCAAGCGAAATCTATCGAAAGATATTGGAGTTTCATGTAATTAACTCACACAACAATATAACATAAAACTATAAATGTTACATTTTAAAACTGTTTTTGGATATTATTAGTTGAGATCTAGACAGATTATCGAAATACTAAAGACTTATACTATTATAGTAATAATTTAAACGTATCATATTATATAAGAAGAAGACAAACCATTGAGATAAAAAGATAAAAGATATTTTTTGATTATAGGGCAGTACGAAGTCCGCTGGGTCATCTAGTAACATATAAAATCATAATTTTGCTTATTGTTTTACATACACAAAGACTATAATATCATTCAAAGGAAGATAAATAAAAATAGTGGTCGTTTACCTATTAGATGTTTAGTTGTTTTTTGTACAAATGTTTAGAATTTATTATTCGATAGGTCAGGTTTTGAAATAAAATTGAAGTGTACATTTTACTTTTGTTTTTCATTTTTTTTACTTCAAAATAATTTTTGTTATTTATATAAATGTATTCCTGTTCTTGAAAAAATATTTATAAAATATTGCGCATGTTAATGTTAAATTGTAATTTATGTTAATAGGATTCGCTAAATTTCTTACTATTTGATCACATCTTTGGATTTATCGTCGCTACGTGCATAAGATTCGTAACTCATAACAATATGTATTCCATTGGTTCAGACCTACTAAGGTATTCGGTTCTAGTCAACGTTGCCAAAATTTATTGTGATACAACTTATGAACAAACTTTCTATAAATGGCTCTCGCTTGTAATATTAAAATGTATATTACTTTTGTCGTTAATATTTAGCTTGTGTTAGACTTCTTTCATAATAGCATAACAACTACTATTTCAATATATTAAACCGAACTTAATTACTATTTTATTATAAACAAATATTTAGTAAAGATCAGTATCTAACGTGATAATAGTATGAAACTTCTGAAGTGTATTCATAAATTAAATGCCGCTTGTACCCTTAAGGAAATATTGTATCCGCATATCACCCGTCCCTAAAATATTATATACGTTAAGTGATGTTATCATTAAATATATAGTTACGAAGTCTTAACGGTAAATGCAATGTAAGCAGTTCACTGTTTCAAATACAGGTTTAAAGCGGACTCTGAACTAAACATCTGAACAAGCTATGTATAACTGTTTTCGCAACGGACAACGGTATTTTAAATTTTTCCAGACATGGAATTCCCAGAAACGAAAACAATTGTTTTTTGTCTGAAAATGAAGTATAAATAAAAAGAAATATATTCTTATTTGAATGAATTAAGATATTATTGACCTTTAATCTTTATCATTCAAGAGCTAAATCAAAATTAAATTTTCAATTAATTAAGTACTATCTTAATATTCAGTAATAAGGTTTATAATGGCACCGACGTCCAAATCGTACACACTTGAAACTACTTCCTGTACACGATCGAAGGACTGAACTCGTCCAACAAATGTGACAGTATCCACATGTGTTGTAATTTTAACAGAGACGCAAAGATAGATACAAGATCCATTTAGAGTATTACCTTCAAAGAGAAATAATGATCTTGATCCTTATTCTCTAACCTCTGGTTTATCACACAATAGTGTGATCGAGTGAAAGTTCTTTTTAGAATAGTTCTTGTTGGATCGGAGTTCATGATAGAGTTGTAAATGGTATCGTGGGTATTGTATGCTTGCATACCATACGATTTCTTGGTTAAGGAATCCTTCAGTATCTAAAACTTTATTCTAAACAGTTTCTCTCTTGGTTTAGGCTATGGAAAAGTATACTTTCAATGTGGATCTTGAATCAGGTAGTCGTTAATGTCAAGGTCGAAATATTTCAATGACATATAATTAAGTCTAATTACATTTTAAATCAATTCTCGTTTACATTTACTTCTTTTCATTAGAATTTTAACATTTGAAGATATTAAATATTTTCACATTTTAAGAATAGCGCCTTTATAAGGATCTATTTATAGAAATTTCAAAATGTTTTTACAATATTGTATGCAATAAATTAATGAAGTTCTGAAATAATAGAATAAAATTTTATACATTCGAAAATATTTTTTGGAAAAGCTTTATTGTATTATAGTATTGGTGTATTTAAAAAAATATATACCTCAGATATAAAAATGAGAGTAAAACTATTTCAATTATTTCATTCCATACGATTCAAAAGAGTTTTTAATGTGTCGTTAACTTTCATGGTGCTGGCTTTTTGTTTCCAATCTGTAAATTTATGCCCTTCTGTTTATATCCGTTGAAAAGATTTACAATTGACAAAAATATTAATTGCTGACCTTTATCGTTTTTATGTTTGTTAAAAGATCAAAATCTTTGTTTAAAATAATATATTTATTAATAAATAAAATATATTATACCATAAAAACTAAAAGCAATGTATATTTTTCCCGTCTTATACTGATTAAGTTATTTTCTGTAAAAATGCTTTATATGTCGACTAAAGGTAAATAAACTAAACAGTATAGTTGACTAGGTTCTGCATTGGTAATGATCTAGAAGTAATCATGGATTTTGAACTACACTTTGGTGAACACAACCACTGTAAAATTCAGGAACCCTTCTAAATACCTTAATGCAATTTGATTCAGTTAAATTATTCATATATGTTATGTTAGTTCAGTAATAGAATATATAATTGAATGCTACTTCTATTTAGACTCCTTGGTATTTAAATCATAATTGGCTTTAAACTTTTTTTTTTGTATTAATTGGATTTTTCTCTCAAAGGACTTGTATGTCGGTAGTAAATCGTTATAACGGAACTTTACTGGCAACGCTTTGTATTTTATGAGGCATTCAAGCTTTTGTAAAACTTAGTTTTCGGTTTAATAGCTAAACATAATTGTTTGCAGCTAACACAACTTCAACGTTATTGATTAATTATATCGTTGTGTTAATATTAAATATTACACAATCAATTTATAATAATTTTACAAAGACAATTGTAATCTCTTAGTGGGAAATATAAAATGAATATGCTGAGAGTGGTATCTTGGGGACTGAAAAGTTTCGTAGAAAATGCAGTTTCACTCGAATAATCATATATAATTTTCTCCTTTGCACATATATAAATGTTTCACAAAAGTCGCACTTAATGTTCAGGTTAAATTTCTACTAGCTAAGCTTATGTATGTCGGCGCAGTTACCATTTTAATAATCAATAATTGAGGGTAGATAAATTATCAGGTGTCGTTCGCGTAACAACCTGTCCGAGTGAAGTCATAACAATGGCTGTTAGTCATTATAAATAGAGGCGAGATTACTGATTACAGATAGTCGTGCTGGAGCCGTCGCGGGGATCGAACCTCTTTGGAAGTGAAACACCGTCCCACCGGCTGTGAGGGCTGTGAGGTTA